CAAGTAATGTTGAATTTGCGATTGCCATTTTGATGAATTATATTTTGATGGTTTTTGAAACACAATTATTATCGCTATAGGACAATGAAATGTCTACACATGTTAAAAATTAACTAAAAGGTTATTTTTAATTTCTACATTCGATTTCGATAAATTATGTTATGGTAATTAAGCTCATCCACCTCAATTGAATGATAACACGATCCCAGGAAATAACCGCGAATGCATCGCTCTTTTTCATCCTTAGGATAAGCCAGACGCTTCTATTTTCAGCTAACTTGTCAAAAATATACCGGAAAAATTGCTGGCAGGAAAATTCGTTGTCTCAAAAAACAAAGATATTTCAATTTGTTTTTTGTAAGGTAAAAACCTCAAAACCAAACTTGATTCTTCTGTGTATATTCACTTTTCTAATTTTTGTAAAAAACATTTTTTTTTCATTTTAAATTCTAACGTTGATATTTGTTTTGGTAAGAGATGACAATGTTGCACTTGCCTAAACTTTTCTCAAATATAAAAATTATTTATTATGGTCTTAAAATAAATGTAAAAAATTATCTCTGGACCTTCAAAATTCAATTCAAAGAATTCAAAAAACAACTTAATAGCAATTAGCTAGCTAACTTTTATTAATTCTGCGTTTTCCAAGTCACTGAGCGAACATGGTTTCTTTCTGCTTTTTCTTTTTCAAAATATTATAAAAAATAGAACACAATTGAACGTTTATAACAATAAAATGTGCGTTTTATGCAATTTGTATGTAAATATTTGCTAGTCATTGGCAATATTAAGATCTTCAGAAAAAATTACGCTGCAGATAAGGTAATTCAATATCATTAACTATATGAAAGAACCACATCATTGCTTAGGCTTTCAGGCCATAATCACTAACAACCCGAAAAATCGCAGTGATTATGAAAGAACAATTGTTTTTGCCCAATTAGGTTAGCAGTTATAATTTTTATTAGAAATCTTTTTTTGATTTCACTCGTTAGAAAACTTATAGTTAGAAGGAAATATGGATGTAGGCACGATATCTAGAATTTTATGAAACTGATATCAATTTTTTCGGCACGTTAAAGAGCATTTTCCTTAGACTAATAAAACCACGAAGCATTTACCGTGAGACCAAGAAGACAATTGGTTTAAAGTTTAGTAGCACAAACATTTATTTCGAATTCGGACATAACATAGAAGAAATCAACGTAAGAAAACAAAAAGTAAAAAGCAAATGTGATAAGGTAGAAGGGTAAATCAATAATCGACGGTTCGCAAAAGTACCATCTAACGATTATACTGATTTTTAATCCAGCTGTTGCTGTAGATACACGTCAGCTTCCGCAACTCAACCGACCTTATAGAAAAACTCTGCACCGCATAAGCAATATTGCGGTTTGTCTATATTATTATATAGGGGTAGATTTCGACAATACCAAGTAGGCGTGTCCACATAAAATTGTCGCACAATAATTTTCCGAGGGTGCGGATGGATGCAATGAATGATGAGGATAAGATGTAATGGTATTAGCTGTCATTTGCACGTGGCGTATTCTCAAGGGGACACTTTTTCCGAAGCCATGTTATCGCTGGGAAATAACGTACCCAATATCTGAGAAACTTGCATACCGCGCTCTCATTTTCCGACTGGTACGGTTTAATTCATCAATTCGATCATTCTGAAATAATTGAATTATTGGAATTTTTTCTCTTCACTAAGCCGTGAAAGATTACCACGAACAGATTTCATTGAAAAAATAAACGCCATTCCCCAACTGACAAAACAAATGCCTACCCGCCCACTACTAATTCAATATTGGCGTCAATAGAGAAAAGTTAAGCGTTGCTATAGAGACCGCTGCCACGCCGCCCAAATGTATATATCTAAATAAATAAATTTCACAAAAGTGAAAATACGACACAGAACCACCACAGGTACAGTTAGCAGGGGTCCTAAATTGGTGTGTTACTTGACCGACAAACATATACCGCATTTTTAGCCAAAAATTTCTATTGGGATTTCCTTCGCTTTACATTGAACCATTTTTCATTTTCAGAGAATCTAAAGTAATTTTAATTGTTATAAAAATAAAAGTGAATATGAATTGTATGTGCATTCAAGTTAAAGTTGCACCCAAAACGGTAGAGAAGTTTTTTTTAGTCTACTAAATTTGACAAAAAATATGCAAAAAGTCATTTCGCAAAGTTATGCCATAAAATTTTACATGAAATGAATGAATGAATGAATGTTGCCTTGTTCAGAGAGTTTCAGTTAAGGATGATTGATCAAACGTTAACAAGTGTGATTTATCAACAATCCGATGCAAGATGATGCCTCGTGTTACTCTCCAAAACTAAATTTAATGTTGAGAAAAAATACGTTTCTCTTAAAAGCCTTCATTTTTTAAATCTTATCCCGCTATGATTTGCTAGCTGATAGATTTTTTCATTACTTTATTCAATCATTTAATTAATTTGAAATCTGTGTTTAGGCATCTCTAAATCGTGAATTGCATTTTTGTTTATTTCCTAATTAGATTTTGATAAAACTATAAAATTCCTAAAAAATCGTATCCCCAAATTATATGAATGATCATCACAAAAAGTCCAAGTGCGAAAGTGTGATTTGGACGACCTAGACAGGATTAATCAATTACCACATCGCGAAATATAAATTTGACTTATTTCGAGCTCAATAACCCGACATACGATTTTTCCGGAACAATACGTACATTTTAGTTCCCGCCAGGAGACCTCCTAGGGATTCTTTTTGACGCCTGCCGCAAAGCACCTTGGTGTCCCCTATAACGTCATTGTGCATGGGGAGAGCCTTACCTGATAGTCAACAAAAAGGTGATATATGTTTACAACGTTTTCTCAACAATTACTTAGCCTTGTTTACCGCAAGTTGTCAAAGCGGACTAATCTTCTTAACTTTATGAATCGATGTCAAAGGTACCGCCCTCCATTTTGTGACTTTGCTGGCCCTGGTGGTCCATGACAATCGGTTTCGTTAGTGCCAACAAAAGTACCTTTATGGCTTTATGGGATTTGAAGTAAACGAAATTTGCACGATATTTTTTAAATGCATTTTTCTGCCATTCCGGTGGTTAATAATAATAATAATAATCATAATAAAGATTATTTATTTCACATTTAAGCGAAAATACAATATATAACCATAGGAGGCAAGGTTCAATTCACCGGTCTAACAAAAAAAACAGAATCTGCTCTTCCACATAACCCAAAAAAAAATGTAGACGGCCGCCATTGAACATAACGATAATTACTTAACCATTGTTTATAAACATAAACTTACGTCTTAAATACAAGTTTATTATTTAGATCAAAGATCTCGAGGAACCAAGATTGCTAAACCAGTTTGTTTTTGAACGAACGTAACGAGTGTTTGAAAAAGTTCATCAACTGTTGCATACTATACTTTTTGTATGATCCTTAGGTTTGTCGCGAACTGACAAATGTCAAAATACGAATAATGTCACAGTACACTAACCAGTGGTTTGCGATTAATGCCCAAAATCTATAAAAACATCCGATCGCTCCTAGTGTTTGGAAGGGGTAAGTATTCCCCGTAAGCAAACATTTATATTGTGAACGTCTGACCTATATGTCATATTATTATACAATATGTTACAATTATACAAATTATTCAATTTTTTATATATTTTAAATATTATATAAATACAAAACGTAGCTGAATCTAAGTACATTCTATTATACATTTACTTTGAAATTTTTTAATCTTATTTGTGTCAACTTCCTTTAAACATGCTTGGCATATAATATCGCAATAATTTATAGAATAAAGTAAAGTTTGAATTTCTTATTCAAGTAGGAGCAAGCAAATACCTATTTATTAATGTAGGTAGTGTCTATTTTCCGATATTTTGGTAGAATTAAAAGGAAAAATTCCATCATAGCAGATCCAGAGATACCTAGAGTAAACAAGTAGCATCCCCATTTTTGATTTTTTTCTACAAGTTTTGTAACATTAAAAATAAGCTGCTGCCATTGTATTTAAAGGAAAATAAACCTATACGTTGGGCTCAAAAATAAAGAGCTGTAATTTCTGGTATGCACTTTCCACATATTTTTCTTATAAGTGTCAATAAGCTCTTGCCAAACATCACGTGATGAGCTTTCGGTGAAAAGCCTTTTCTTCATATTGAAATTGAACAACAGACACAGATACGCAACAGGTTACATTCATCCTTACATTCAATACAACTCAAAAATCGACTTTTCTCTTTGCGTCTTACTTCTGGCTTTAACATGTATTGTGGGCTTAACGACAACAAGGATTCTTGGATATTTTCTTAACATATAGCTCAATGACAGTTTTTCTTCAGGGCCTAATAGTTTTTTTAAGGGAGCTCTCATGTATCAGAATTGCTAAAGAAAACATTATTCCAAATAGTTTGTATTTCTTTAAAAAAAGTATATGTTTTATCAAGGTCACAATGAACATTCTAGATTCTGAGGGCGAAAGAATGGGCTACCAAAAACAGTACAGTACAGAACAGTAGAAGGCTACTATCACCTTCTCCATAGCTAGGTATTTTTAGTTTCCGAATTGATCTTTGAAATATTGATGATGCTTGTTATTATTAATTTTGTGTTGATTGCAATCCAAATCGCGTCCACTATTATTACCGACAACATCAACGTGAGAATAGTGTTTTATTGTATAGAATGAATATGCTTTTAATCCCAGAAGATAGAAAGTTAAAATTTGTTATAGTCAAAGTTAATTTCATAATACTCAATTTAAATCAAAGGGAAATATACAATTATGTGAATATTTTCGAAATTGGAGAGGATCACCGCAAAATAGCTGCTCAGGAATAATAATTAAACAGCAGTACAAAGTAAATCCCAAATATTTATTTTTATTTAACATATCGAATACGAAATTGCTTCATTGGTTTGAACAAATTGGTTTCGCTGTAAGTTCACATTCTTCTAATGAGTTGAAATTGTTTGCGCTTCCACCACAGCCTCCATAAATTACTTCTTCGCATTCATTAGTAGTATTGTTCCAGTGGTAACGTATCAATAACGCATAACAGTTATAAGTGGATGTTGTATGGGGCTTATCACAATCTAAAAATAAAATAACCCCAATATAATAACTGTTAACAACAATACGATACAAACGGTCTTTATTTTTGAAATTCAAATTATTTTACAACATTTTGTAAAAAAACGTGTGAATTTTCATAAAGATGCTAAGATTACAATTTTAAAAAGAAACTTTGTAAAAATGATGTGAATAGTCAACTGTAGATAGTCCAATGTAGTAGTAGTGGCCCTACTACGGTAAAAATTGCTACCCGCAGGCGCGCATGCCTGTATATTTCACCCACTAACAGCACTTTCTAAACAGCTATTTCGATACGCTTAATTCGTTTTCCCAGAACATTTAACAAGATCTACGCAAAGTTATTGACGATCTATCATCGGCCATGTTAATTGTTGAATGCCGCAAGATCATTGGTTAAAAGCGACATTTAAATTTTTAATTAATTAAAATATAATTTAGATGAATTTCCCTCGTTGGACCGCTAAATTTATATTCTTAATTTATAGTTGTATTTTTGCTGTAGAGAGTTGCTTATAATATAGGTGTTATCGTGTTATATTATTATTATAATTTAATGAGAATTATTACATTCAAATTAAAAAGGGAGGAAGGATATTGTATATACATAAATACCTAATGTTTAGGGATTTATTATAACCCAAAAAACGGTCAGCTAAACATAATAGTCGGTTTTGAAAATAATAAGACACTTTGGTAAGGTTACGTTGCAAGTAACATTAAATATTCTCATAGATTATAATTTGTACATGCCTTTTGTACATGTACATGTACATTTGCCTGTCGAAATGACCAAAAAAATTTTTTTGCTGATCAAAATCTTTCCGATATCTTCCTGTCGAAATGAACAAAAAGAAAAATTTTCTTTGGTTCATAACTTATTTTGTACACTACAACAAAAAATACCAGACAGCAGTGATAACATAACTTGTTCCTACGATTCCCTGTGACGCCACTAAAAGAAGCCATACAATTTTTTATTTGCATTTTTATTTTCAAAAATAGCTCGTTTACACCGGCAATAAAAGTTTCAAATTTTTAGTAACCTACCTGTTTTTGTAAATTTGTTATTAATTTCACTTGGAACTGCGGTTGAAAGACTGATTAAAAACACAAGAGCGATCGAAAATGTGAACATTTTTTTAGTTACAATTTGAAACGAACTGCGCAAACTATAAAAACACATTGGCTTATATATTTATTTTTTAAAATTTTTATCAAATTTGTGAACATATTTGAATATTTATATTTAACGATACATATAATTGCCACCAAAAACAATCAACCTTATCCGAACAATTAAAAAAAAAACCTAATCAACGGAAGCAGCAATATTTATTATCTCTGGTAAATGGGTTGATCTGTTTCCTTATTTAGCTATACAGGGTGTTGTTGTGATGTTTATCAACCACTGAAAATGGGAAAATACTTTGGTCTTTGAATTTTGTTGGAACAAGAGAGCACCACGAAAATTTTGACGTTTCCATAATTGTATTTACTATACTTTATACTGAAAATTTATTGTTTTTTAAATTTAATGTACGTATATATTATATTTACATTTATGTTTTCGATATAAAAGCATCTTAACGAACAACTTGCCTATGGATTACTTACTAGGTCTGATAATGTGTGGACGCCTTGTAGCTTTATGACGATCCTGCCGATTCTAAGTAAATAATGTAGTTATTCTAGCAATTAACTGTATATTCAGTATACATTTTGGGTTGTTGCATTGAGCCATAGTCTGCTAGTAAATACCTTAATACCTTTTTGATTTTAACGATAATTATGTTAATAAACAATGAAGTTATGGTCAGAATAATGATTTCATTTAATATTTGTGAAGCACCATTTTTTTCCGGAATGGGAAATGAATAATCGATATCAGGTGAACCCTAATTATTCTTGTTCCTATTTAATAGGAATCTGGAAAAAAGAACATATGTACGTTTCTGAACCCGAAGAATTTTTTTCATGTCGCATGCTGTTGGAATTATGTTAAATACTATAATAGCTCTTTCGAGTGCTTATAATTTTATCCATTTTTATAAATGTTGTATTGCCCGCGTTTTGAGTTTTTCGAAAGTATTATGTCCATATTATTACCTCAAAAGTGGCGCAGTATTATTATTATTTTTATGAGATTTATTATTTATAAAAGCAAAATATTATTTAGCCCTATCATTAAAATTTTTTGAAACTGGTGGGACGGGGATTCTGCATGTTGTCTCTTGCCAGGAAAATGATTTTTAAAATAATTTAGAAATGTCTCGCAGCTTAAATGTTACACGATGTTAATTATGTCATTCAGCGATCGATTGTAATTTATGGAAATTGGTCTTAAAGCATTCATATATTTAATTATAAAAATTAAAATTTCTTACTCATCGAAATCGATCTCTATATATACAGGCAATATGGTACGATTGTAGATTTTTTATACTGAGACAACAAAATTAATGTCGTAGTTCTCAAATCTCCCTCGTAAAATGCTGTCCAAAAAGGAAGTGAAAATGTAAAATGCAGAACCGGGTATTAGCTTTGACCGAACGAGACTGTCCGAACTGTTTTTTTACTGTCATTAAAAGGCAATTTAAATGTAAAATCGACCCCATAATGAAATGCTTTTTATTGCGCCTATATCGTAACAAGGTATCGTTATGCCAATGATTCCACTAATCATACCAATTTTTGTGACATTATTATACGACGTGATCTTATATTACCGCCATATTAATCGCCGATAGCGGGTCTGGTACTTTAATATTGCACTCGTTCTATTACTATTATATTGACACAGTTTGAAACTATATTGATCTACAATGCATAACTTTTGTTAATTACATGAGGTACTATTTATTTTTGTTATTCAGAAGGAATTCAAGTACTTACGTTTTGTATAAATATTTTAGTGCAGGGTGAAACTTGAATTTTTAAACGAAATAGTGTTGTATCGTTTTTTCCGTAGTTTTAGAAATAGAAACCTTAATTGTCCAAAAGGCGCTCTTGTATATGTCAGTGGCTACCTTTAAAAAATGTTTATTCCAGTGTTCTTGTGAAATATGTATGTATTATTTTTAGTAACTGATAGTGATTCAATTTGAAAACACGACAGTATATGTGTATGTGTTGGAGGATCTATTTATTAGGAACTCTAAGGAGTTGATATATGGCTAAAATGTTGGGCAAATATTAAAACAATATTTCAAAACAGCCTCTTTTAAAAATCCTTGTGAAACTTCGCCTATTTCATAACATACAGAATGAATTGAAAACTTAATATTTAATCTTATCGTTTAAATATAAAACGTTCAATTTTTTGAAGTAAGCTACAATAACCCATGAGAGTCGCAGCTAGCTTTTGATCTCCAAATTTTAATAAGAACCTCTGGGTTGGTAGAGTGAGTCAACTTATATATATTCTGTAACCTTTAACAATACCTCAAGAGCAATCTTAAAGGCATATTTGTTTAAATGACACATATTTTAAACAAAGCCTGTTCTAACAGTAATAAAATCACTGCATCAATTTTTGTAGAAACGTTGAGCTGCCGGCTAAGTATCTGATACACAAAATCTGAATTTACTTTGGCGGCGACATCAAAGTAAGGATATCACAAATTGACCATATAATAACAACACATTAACATATCAGGAGACACATCCATCAGCGATATCAACAACCTGTCTTATATGTTCAGATAGCCATATCATTGACGGTATGAAGACGGAAGACAGCCCCAGACATGGCATATCACCGACAATGACAACTAAACAAATGGTTGTCCTGCCAATCGCAGGTATTGACGATGCGAAACATCTGCCTTGCGTCATTTTATGCCATTACGTAGCCTGTTATTGCGTTCGCTTTGCGAGCTTTAAGTACGGCCGTTGTCCATTTTAGTTTCGAAGAGTATATCTGCAGTTTTATAAAGGTAGTCGCAACTGTAAATATGTATTCAACAAAACGGAATAAAGTTACTGAATTGTGGTAAACCGACTCGATATTCACTTTGATGGAATTTTATACATTTTATGATGAATAATGAACAGAATTTGTTATTTTTGTTTTTATTACTTTTTGTGATCTCTAGAAAGATCACTTCCAAATACATTTAAATATGGGTAGTAAAGAGTAAATAGTATATTTGTCTAAAATAGCGATATAAAATTAAAGAATGTTAAAAAAAAACAGACATCATAACTGCACTCAACAGAAAATCCAATTACTATAGTAGGGTGACCACATAAGAATAATATTTTTAAACTAAGAGTTTGGTATAAAGGTTGAGTGCCCCTAATTACAAGGCCTAGCATTGTATGACTTCTTTTCGTAGTCCAATTCAAATATTGCATTGTATACAATATTGATGTTAGCCTTTTTACTAACTTATATGTAAATGTTGTCATCGTCAATTATCCTCACGAGGCCATTGTAGGAGACAGGCCTTCCCTCAATCATAATCTCTTATCAATTTTAAAGCTTTCAATCTGATGAGAGAGTTAGATACTTTTTCTTTAAGCACATCGTAGAGAGTTCTTCGTGTCTTTCATTAACTTGGTTAAAGCGAAAGAATTCACCTCCAAAATATGAATAGACTGCTAGCAAGTTGCTATGCGATGCCATGTTGGGTTTGTTGAGCATTTTAGTTGAGTCATCAACTCGATCTGCTGTGAGGATAATATCTTTCTCCAAGCGCAACAAAATCAACATTTCCTTTAAATTTCATGTCGCTTCATTGATCTTTATAAATTCTAACGAAGTTTTAAATAATTTGGTGATTATGACGCATTTCACGTTCTTTAAATTGGTAATAATATAAACAAATCTAAATCACGTTCCAAAAAAGATCACTGAGCATGTATATTCGATGTTGTTAACATTACCTGCAGCGCTCCATTTAAAAGCAACTAAAGCCACTAAAACATAGAAATTGGTGATTTATAAACCAATGATGCCCGTTATATAATAGTAATTGACGTACCATTGCAAATTCCTCATGTCTTCATCTTCATTAGTAACGGTTACATTCGTTTTTTTTTGTTAATCCAATCGCGCATTTCTGTTATTTATCTGGCGAAACCGCCGACTACTTCAGTTAGTAACTCTAATGATAAATTAAATGCTTCAACCGTATATTGCATTCGGAAAGGGAAACCGACAAACAAGCAGCCGAACAATGCCTGCCAATTAAACAAAAACACCAAGCTTGTTCGCTGTCTTTCAAAGCCGCAAACACAAATAATTAAGGAATTAAATTTTAGCAGCAGCAACCAGCGGGCACGCAATCGGCCAATTACGGTAATTACCTGCATACGCAAAAAATAATGCGATTAGTTTGAAGTTTTGAGAAAAATTTGGGACTATTAGCGAAAGCTCTCCTACAGAATCAAAACATCCAATAATAACTTCTCGGTTGGAAAAGTGGTTGCGGTTTCGAGGGTAGTTCTATAGAAAAGGATTATTACGTACTAATTTTTGAATCATTTCGGTATATAGCAATGAAATTTGGAGATATTATTAAATAACAGATGAAAATCTTTTTTTTTCATTAATTACTTTTTTAAATGAAAAGACCAGTACAGTACTATGCGTTCAACATTATAATTGGCTGTAACTTTTTTGTTTTTAAAGATCACAAGGTAAACACAAAAACAAAATGTAGGGTTAGTAGCCAAGTTTTTTACAAGTGACGTATAAATCAAAACACCATTAATTGTCTGACATACAAGCCTACATCATATATTTTTTAACGGAACACCGTGTATATTATATATGTATTTAATAGAATATCTTATTTCGATTACAATGATGTAACACACTTTATATTATATCGAATTTTTTTATGTAATTTTAAAGGGTGCCCTGACTAACAAATAAAAATATGTTTATGTTTGACGTATTAGTAAACAACGTTGATGGTTGAATTATTGTCCAAGTCATTATTGTTAAAATGGGTTTTCGAGAATTTAGCATCCGCGAATAATGTGTAAGTGCAAGCGCAGCTCGTCGTCAGTATATTAGACTTTATCCAGAGCGCCGAGCTTCTTCCAAACAGATATTTCCAAGGCTGGCAAATAAATTTGCAGAAAACGGTAATGTAATAAATGCTAAAAAGGTATACCGGAATTATGAAGCAAATGAGGCAAATATATTAGGATTCTATGAAGCAGGTCCAGTTTCCTCTCTTACTAGAGTATATGAAGAACAAGGGGACGACGACGACTAGGGGATCAATGTTCAAAGAATATAAATATAATGCATTTATATTTCGTAAAACTCGAAAACTAAGCGCAGGACAATGTCAAAGGTGGATGCAGTTTTGTTTGGATTTTTAAATAGACATAATGAGAATAACAATTTTTTGAAAAATATTTTATGGATTTATAAAAGTTTCTTCACTACAAGAAAGGGTTGTAATAGATAAAATACGCGATATTGGTCTTTAAATAATCCTAGACAAATAAACGAAATAATAACTCAGGGATACCAATCAATTAATGTATGGTGTGGTGTCATAGATGGGCATATTTTGGGTCCGATATTTATAGATTAAAAGTCAACAGGAGATCATTATTTGCAACTCTTAGAGCACTAGAAGCGCCAGAAGAATATATCAGTAGCGTTGATGATATCGCAGCAAGACGGTGCCGTCCTCATAATGTTGTGCAAGTTAAAAATTTTTTTAACATCGGCCAGCCAACAGCCCCGACATAATTTTAATGGATTTTTTCTTTTGGGGACACATACAAAATCACGTGCACAGAACTCCTTGTAATAATGTCGTGGAACTTCGGCAAAGGATTTTAGAGGCATTCAATCAGTTCAGAGATAATTCGGAAACGTTACTAAGTGCAAGATATCATACAGTTAGAGTGTATGAGAAATGTGTTGAGGAAAATGGTAGTCACATACAGCATTACTTAGAATAGTTAAATAATTTTTTACTTTAATGTGTCTTGTCATTTTTAGTGTTTTTGTTCTACTTTAATTTGTAAATAATTTTTCTTGTTGCAGTCAGTCACGGCGCGTTTTGAAATTTTATAAAAATTTCCTATTTTTGCCAATTTATTAAAAACGTGGAGTAAAATATAAAGTGTGTTACATCATGGTAATCGGAATAAGATATTCTATTAAACACATATATTATATACAGGGTGTTTCGTTTGAAAAAAATATGATCTAGGCTTATATGTCAGAAAATTGATAGTGCTTCGTTTTATACGTTACTTAAAAAAAACTTGCTTACTAACCCTACATTTTGTTGTTTTGTTGTATCTCTAAAAATAAAAAAGTTACAGCCAATTAAATTGTTATCAAGATAAATTGACCGTGCGTTCAATTTCATTGGCCGAATCTGCTCGTAATTTGTTATGATCTTTTCTCTAAAACATTTCTTCTACTCTTGAAATGATTTATCTTGAGAAATTTAATGTTTTCCAATGCAAACTTAAATCAAAATTCGTTTTTTTCATTGCCTCCTACTAAACTGTTGAAAAAAATAGAAGTGAAATGTTTTATTACGGAAATTACATAAATTACGATAAAAGTGGGTTTTCCTCTAATATTCCTCTCCAAATTATGATATACAAGCAAAAATTGTTAGGGAGGGAACAAATTTTATACGGGAACATAGGTCTGTAAGTCGATTTGAACTTTATAAAAGATGAATGTATATTAAGATACTCTGAAATGTCATTGATTTAATTAATTTGAATTTATAAAGTTGTTTTGTTTGAAAAGTTTGAAAATTTACATATATATTCAAAATTCTTTCGAGTAATTAAGAGGAACTTTTAATGAAGGAAATTCAAACACATTCCTTAACGACAAGAAAAATAAATTCTCATCACTTTTTCATATGTATGTGCTCCATTTTAATTAACCTTTTTAATGTTATTTCTCTCCAATATTTCTATGAATTTCATTGAAAATATTTGGGGAAAATGCAGCTTGTATTTGCACCGGGTGATTTACACACGAAAAAATAAATCACCGCCTAGTTGTAAATTTCGTGAATTTGTGTTGTTAGTTTAATATTTTGCAATGAGAGAACGTCTTCCTTAAATTTTAGTTAGTTTATAGTAAATAACTAATTATTTTATATCATTAAGGACAAACATTCGAGAGATCTCGTTGGCTTATCTTTATCGTAAAAATACTATAAATAAATAATTTGCCTTGGTACGTTGGACACTAAAAAAATTGAATAAATAAAAAAAAAACAAAAAAAAAAATCTCTTCGCAAACACGGTATAAACTGAATTCGGACCCTGCCAACAAATTTTTAAATATGTCGTTCTTGATGTAAAACGTCCACGAACGATTATTTTCGAAAATCGGTAAAAAATATTTTTCAAGGCTTGAGACAAATATTCGTGCCAGACTGATGGCGATAAAAAAGTGAAATATACCAGCCGATTTCGAACAATAGTCGAAATTCGAACCTTGAGTAATATGCGTGTCAAACAGACATTCTTTGTAAAGCTGTACCGCCATCTTTTTTAGAAAAACTGGACGCTTTCGGAGAACGGATTGCTCGCTATCGATGTCCGCATCGGTTTATAAGGAGCTGAAAGTAGCTTATAAATGGTTGTTTTTAGGACTTGATACCCAACACCCGAAAAAAGATATAAATAATCTGCACCAATATTAATTTGGAATGTCATAGCGTTTTCTTTTATGCTTCTAGTGTCAATCTGAACGCACTATCGCCGTTTCAGGATAATTTTATCGCAGCGATGAATTGGTAATTGTTTTAAATAGGCACACCTAAAATTTCATAAAAAATATTTATTGGGAATACAATACAATACAATACCTACATAACTGACTGAAACAGATTCAAAGAAATGACACCGCAAATACTCTCAATATCCATTTATTACCTAAATTAACAAAATGGGTAAACATTGGTGCGGTAAATTTACGCCACCTTTTCAAAATCGATTGCTTAAGACGACAAGAAAAATTGCCACCTTAGAGAGGAGACGTCCTTAAGTATTATATCAATCTATATACCTTTTAGTTTTCCCATTTCACCCAAAAATCCATAAAAAAATTTATTCAGCCCACCAGCAGTTTTGTTCTGATCCATCTCGTTGCAGTGAATTAATCAGTTGCCTCTTGCCATTGGAAAATAATATTATTTTTGTGTATATCCTTATATACACCGCGGGATTTACATTAAGTTGACTATGAAATAATTAAATATTTACCAAAAAGGTTCTCTGACGTTACCTAATAATGAATAATGATATACTTAGTTTACTCAGTGCTTGTTGGTGTTTTTACAATTTCCCAGCTATCCATCTGTGACTAAAAATAGGTTTGTAACAACGTAGAATCCTTGATCTTTTATGAACTAAATTTTCAATATTAATTCGGAATTTAATAAGCACATTAGTTAAACGCAGGAATTTCTTAGTTTTGGTGTACGCATAGTGCCTATTTAATACTAGTTAACATAGTCTCACATCATGTCCCGTGTCTCGGAACAAAGATCCCCCGGACCGTATTCTTCAATTTTCTTCTATTCTTAACCTTTCCGCACAAGTCAGATAAATAGCGCATGATATAGGTAAGCAGAAATTTTTTCATTCACCTAGTTTCGAGGATATGAATTTATGGGAGAGCGAACTACGTAGTCAGAAATTGGTTTGTGTTAGTAATCAGGGGGCTTTGAACGAAATATCGATAATTTCGGCTAATATAAGCAGAACTATCAATAGGAAAACAATCTATGAATTAACCGATCACAATCCCTTCCTCATCATTATGGAAGTCGTGGGATTCTGGGAAATTTTACATAAAGCCAAAACCAAGGGATTACGAAAATTAATAGAAAGGGAGCAAATTCATTGATTGAATTCAGAACTTCTGAGTAAATTTTTATAAAATTTAGTATGGAGGAAGGAAGCAGAGGAATTATCAAGGACATTGGTGATCAGATCACAGAAGATGATGAAACCATGGCTTATTTTGGGACCCTAGCTCAAGGTAAAAATAAAATTAAGGTCTTTGCGGTTACTGGGGAGACTATCATGCAGATGGTTCGCACAAATGACTATGTACTGACTTTTGAGGGCACAATCTTGCCAATGCAACAATGATCAGGAAGTAAAGAAGTCCATAAATCCCATTATCATGTGCGTAATTTGTTGGGGAAATCTCGTCGTGGATTTTGCAAT